TATTATTATTGGAGTGTACTTTCCAAAGAGTAAAAGAAAAGAAAAAACCCACACAATCCTTCTCTCTCACACACACTTTAGACTGAGGCAGCAATTTTTCCCTGTTTCAGTAATTTCTCAGCTATTTATTAGACAAACAATGGAGGCCAATTGAGACCATTTACTAGCTCCCGATTTTAAAGGCTGCGTAACTGTTGCTCTTGTTTCTTCTGCAGCTGGTACTGAGAGGGGTTGAAGTCCTTACCGGAGTTTCTCTATCCCTAGATTATATTTCCATTGTAATACCAATAAAATGGGGAGGAAGGTGTGGTGGGGAAAGGAAAATTTGGATGTACCCCTTAGTCTAAGTTGCATTGTGTTTCCTAGGAAGCTAAAGCCTTTTTCATTTACAGACCAGACTCCCAAATCATTTTAGCTTGATTTTAGAGCCAAAAGATAACTTACTCAAAAAGTAAATCGTAGCGGAAACTAGAAACCTTTTAAACTTCTGGATAATATTATTCTGTTATAAGGCCAGAGTCTTGAGGGTCCCAGCCTCACTTCAGCTTCCGAGTGCTCTGGTTAGGGTAAACCCTTTGTTTCAAAAGATTAATTCACAATCCTTGGGAAAATCTGCCTCGCCATGTCCATTTGAAACAAACAAAAGGAAAGGAATACAAAAGAGTCACCCTGGTAGTGGACAGCTCCTGAACATTTTACTGGAGCTCATCGCAGGAGAACTTCCCCGAAGGTCTTGTTCTTTATACTATTAAAGGGATAAAACAAGACTAATTTATTGTACTAATTGGTCTCTGAAGAAAGAAAATATGAGGCTACAGTTCAGAAAGTTGCCTTCGGTTTAAGGAGGTTACACACATACAAACACATACACACGAAGTGCAAAAGCTGAAGGCTGAACCACTGTTCGCCCAAAGCAAAGCAAAACGAAACGAAAGAAGAACCTCAGCTGACTTCGACGAAAGTGCCAACCAAAAGAAAGAAAGAGATGTTAATATTATTTGGGACCTTGAACAAAGGAGTACACAAGTGAAAGGAAAAAAATACTAATGAGACTGAACAGCAGAAATATTTTCTATCCAGGAGCCCTCTTTACTACACAGTGTATTTTCTCCACTGGTAAAAGGAGAGGTTTCTGAAATTTCTTAGAAATTCAGGTGTGTTTTCTGAGAAATACATCTCATGGAAATCCGTAACATTTGCAAAAGTGTGCGTAGGACTGGAGTGTAAACCTAAGGTCGTTTCAAATGGTGATTCACCGGCCACAGCTTCAAAGAACACTCTTGTACAAAGGAGAAGGAGAAAAAGAAGGTCGATAGAGTGTCACATGGCTATAAAGACCCACCGTTGTAAGGGAGAAGAACAGGTTTAGGCTAAAGCCTAAGAAACCAGTTTGTCTGATAGGAAAATAAAATTATATTCTCCTCACTGTTGTGGTTTGCGGGGTGTGTATATGTGTGAGCTGGGGCTTGTCTATATTCACGTCTGCATGGAGTCCTTCGTGACCTCTCCCGTCCCTCCTGGCACTGCCTGGCCAAATTACTCGGTGGTTTCAGAGGAAATCTAGTTTTCTCGTCGGACAGCTACAGAAACCGAAGACGAAGATGCCTGGGTATCGGTGGAGACCTATGACACAAGTAGACGACTCTCGATCTGACTCAGAACGTTGCGATGTTAAGGAGAGCGTGGAGATGGGGGTGAAGTTCATTTAGGCAGAGCAAAGTGCTAACCACCTTTCCCCAATCCAGCGCCTTTCCTAACCGGCTGAGGGATCCTGGGACTTGTAGTCCAATGCTTTTGGAGGGCACCAGGCTGAGGAAGGCGGTGTTGCACAAATCAAAGGGACTGTGAACCTCTTGGCGTTCTAAGCAGGACAGTTGCCTTAAGCTTGGGTGCGGGGCGGGGGTGACCTCCGTACACGCAGTTTACCAAACGATAGGAGGCGGATTTTGGTTTTGTTTGTTTGTTTGTTTTTGTTTTTTGAAAGATAGAAGGATAGATTTTTTTTGGTAGGGAAATGTTGGGAGTCCAGAGCCCTTTGGACTACATCTCCCATCAGCCCTGATCGTCGGCTATACCAGCTGGGGTTGATGGAAGTTGGTATCTAACCAGACCGAAGGGCCACGGGTGCTCAAAAGGCATAAGAGGGCTGCCTAACCACAAATAAGATTTCTCTTAAGGCTAGGCAGGGCTCTTTTCAAAAGAAAATGTTGTTCATCTCAGCTGTAGTTACTCCCAAGTAAGTGTACATAGATTGTTACCGCGCTGGTACTGGGCCCGATTCGGGGTCCAAAGACATCTGCAGATAAAAAAAAAAAAACACGAAACGAAAGCGTCCGCATGTCCATCGCATGCCTTTATTAACCGTCCTCGTTTTACAAACTGGGTGGATTTCCTGGTGATAATTCTATTTCACGTGTCACGTCCCCTTCCCTACGTACACGTTTATAGTGAAGAGAATGAATTTGGGCGTCAGGATGGCGATGTCGTGTCACCTTTCGGGGCGCATCGGCGGCGCGGTCGGGCGCCGAAGCAACATTTGGACTAGAAATGCTGGGGTGTTGCTCTGGAACATCTGCTGAGAGATAGAGCACCCCTGATCTTCCACCTCGACACGCCAGCACAACACGCCACCCGCTCTCGCTCCATGGCTCCGTGGGGAGCCGTTGTTTTCCAAACAGGCTGTTTGGCGGTGTGGGGGTAGTGCGGGAGGGGGGGAAAACGGATCCAGTCGCGCAGAGGCGATAGAGAATCCCTCCTCCCCACTTTCCCTCCGCCTGATTCGGTCATAGGGCAGCGATTGCCTGAGACAGGTAAATAGGCTGCGAGGCTGTGGTAATGCCAGGCGTATTTTCAGTTAATAGGGAGGGAAAATGAGGTGTCTGGAGCGATATTGGAAAGTACAAGATCGATGATCCGTCCTCGTGTCCAATCAGCAGCCTTTAATTGACTGTATTTTCTAGGTAATTGAGCCACTCTGCCTCTAAATTGAAGTGCAAGATATAACAATACATCTTGCTAGCAGGAATTACTCATTACTTCATAATGAAATTTTCTTTTTGCTATGGAGTGGGTGGTTTCGGTTTCCCTCTCTCTCTCTCTCTGTCTTCTCTCTCTCTCTCTCTCTCCCGATCGCTCTACCTTTTAAACACCCAGGCTGCCATTAGTCAGAGCTTCGTGGCATGAAATGTGCAAAGGAGGATGGGAAAGAGAAAGAATACGAAGGGAAAGAGGGCTGGGGAAATTAGGGGGGTGGGGATCCAAACCTTAGTAGAATCAATGCGTTCAATAAACCTCGGCTCAAGCCTTTGTATATGAAGCTCGGTAAAGGGAGATCAGAGGCCATGAACAAAGAAGATCTGAGATGGACAGCCTGATGAGGAAAATCTCTCTGAGCGGTGATAACCCTTCTCAAATCCCAAACACACACACACACACAGAGAGGGAGGGGGGGAAGTGGCTTGAGATTTCGACGTGGCTTGCCTTCCAGAGACCGGGCTTTGGAACCCTGGAGTTTCGCATTCACACATGCCCAGGCACGGGAAGGAAAGGAAGGTGGGGGGGAAAAAGACGATCCAGGCTGCCTGCCTGCCCTTGTCAGCCGCAAACGCCAGTCATCTGCGGGTCTCTCCGAGGTGCCACTTTCTATCCAGCCCAATTCGGCTCCAATAGGCCGATGGCGGGTTGTTAGCGTGTGATTGATTACCTTATTAAAGCGTGTTCTTGTAAGTGTGACCGAACGAATGGCATTGCATATGTTAGGAATAATGCTCATTTTAAGCAACTGAAGGAAGGGAGATGAGCTCAGGAAAGAGGGGGTGGGTGGGGGAGGGGTTAGCACTAAATGTTCCCGCTTGCGTGGGTCTGCAGTTCGGGCCTTAAACTGTTCAGTCCCTAGCAGATCGTTCTTTTTCTTTTAAGGGCTAGAGAGCCTTCGGCATTGTTTGTCTCCACACCACCCTAGGTATAAAACGCTGTCCTGTTAGCCATCCCGCTTTCACCTCCTGCCTCGCTGTAGGCTCACTGCTTTTGTTCTACACCGTTTTTTGGGGGGTTGGGTTGCTTCCTGATTCAGAACGAAGTTGATGGCTTTCAATCCGTTAGCGCATTTCAAG